TGAGTTGCTCAAACCAGAAACGTATGAGTCATTCTTGTATCCTTCTCTCTCATTCCTCATATTCCATCTGTCACAAAATCCAGCAAGTTCTCCCACATGTCTCGAGCCACTTCTCTCCATCTTTCCTGTCGCTATCCTAATTCTGACCAACATCACCTCTAGTCTGGATTCCTACAATGGCCTCCTAACAGATCCCTTACGGCCGTTTTGTCTTCCACCAATGTGATTAAAATCTTCTCACTCTTCTGCTTCGACCCTTCCGTGGCCTCCAGTTTCCCAGGGTTTAGCTCTCCAACCTGATCACAAGTCCCTCTGACCCTTGCCTTCTGGTATTACTGTTTTTTCTTCATTTCGCATCTATGCCATCCTCTCATGATCCAGGATATTTGCACCTACTATTTCCACTGCCTGAAATATCTAACTCCAATTTTTCACCAGGCTAAATCATCCTTGAAATCTCAGTAGAAGCATCACTTCATCAGGTATGTGTTACCCAAATCCTCAAACTGAGTTGCCAGCACCAGTTATAGATCCTATAATATACTTTCTTTCCCACCTCACAACATGTTTCACCTGTAATTGTTTCTATAATGCCTTTTTCCCACAGGAGAGTCACAGGACAATGTTTGCCTTTTCCCACAGCAAAGTAATAGGACAATGCCTGCCTTTTCAACACATTACCACCTATGTTTGGCATACAGAAGATGCCCAATACTTATTTATTGAAAAAATGAATGAATATTAAAGACTAATGGCAGGTGGTTGGTGACTTTTTACCTTGCACTGGTAAGTTTTCATTCTCAAAGATGATTTCCAGCTATGATCTCCTAAGAGGACTTACATTTGCCTTCTCATTGTACATTTGGGGTCCTGGAGGATGCTCTCCAGCAAGTGACACATCTCCGGATTCTAGCAGTGCCCTCTCTTGCACACTAGTGCTCCCATTTTCACGTCTTCCTAGGTAGTGTTATTAGCAAAGTCTTCCTGAGAATGGTTGATGCTGCTGTATAATAAGGGTATAAGTCAATCTCAAGTTTTGTAACTAATAGGAATGTAATTCTATTAGTTCCAGTCAGTGGTTAAGTCTCAGTTCCAGTCACTGAGCTGTTCCTAAGCAGAGAAAACAAAGACTGTTACTATTTCTCTTTTGATTGCTGCTTTGGTCTTGTCTTAGTTATCTAGTGCTGCTAGAACCGAAATACCACAAGTGGATGGCTTTAACAAAGAGATATTTATTCTGTCACAGCCTAGTAAGTTAAAGTCCAAATTCAGGGTGTCAGCTCCAGGGGAAGGCTTTCTCTCTCTCTGTCAGCCTGCTCATCAATCTTCTCCTGGAGTTGGAGCTTCTCCATGCAGGAACCCCAGGTCCAAAGCACACGTTCTGTTACGGTGCTTCTTTCTTGGTGGTATGAGGTCCCCAGTTCTCTGCTTGTTTCCCTTTCCTTTTATCTCTTGTAAGATAAAAGCTGGTGCAGGCCACACCTTAGGAAAACTCCCTTTACACTGGATCTGTGATGTGATCTTAGTAAGAGCGTTATACATACAATCCCACCCTAATCCTCTTTAACATAAAATTACAATCACAAAATGGAGAAGAACCACACAATATTAGGAATCATGGCCCAGCCAAATTGATACACACATTTTTGGGGGGACATAATTCAGTCCATGACGGGTCTTTAATACATCTCCTTATCTGAATTCCCTTGAAACGTCTGCTCTTCTCTTCTCAGTCTTAAGTATGATAATTGTACTAAATTTGTGTCCACTCAGTCTTTATATGTTAATGTTTGCTTTCCTGTTTAGAACAATCCATGGCAAAGGTTATAGTTATTTTCCATATTTTTAAAGAAGAGGAAACTGAAGCTTAAGGAAACTAAGTAATTTGCCCAAACTAAAAAAGTTACTAAATATTTGAGCTGAAATTTGATCCCTCGGGTCTGCCTCCAGTTCCTTTAAGTTCTCAGCTTGTATTATTTTACTTGTTAATAATAAGTGTTATTATTTTACTTAAGACGCAAGTTACTTTTATTTTAAATCTTCCCCTCTTCTCCCTTAATTTTCTGTATAGAGTAGGCCTTCAGTGAATATTTGCTTAAACTTTCACTGGCTGGTGGGTGTTGTTGTTATACTAGGTCTGTGATGGAGTCCCTGGATGGTGTAAACAGTGATGGGATGTTATTTGCGGTTTTGTTCTGTTTACTGGATTTTTTTTTCTTTCAACCAAAACTGAATTTGGCCTAAGTAAGAGGGGCTAGTAATGCAGATAGTACATGTGGATAGATAATGGTTCAAAGAAAAAGTCTGTTTTGAGGTATTTCAAGAGGGAGAGTAACTTTCAAGGGCTTCACCAGTTGGTTACCTGGGGCTCAAATTGCTTTCCGAATCCTCTAGGTATAATGCTGATTATCCAAACTTGTTTGTCTTCACTCTAGTTAGCTATGTAAAAGATTCCCATTGTGTATAAAGAATGAAGAGAAAAAGGAAAATCGGCAGTTTTCCATTCCTGCATGTCTACCTTTTGATACCTGAAATTCTCAACCCAGATAATAACAGATAGGAGAGTTACACATTCCCGTTGTGTGTGTGTGTTTCTTGGATACGCTCTTAGGAGCTTTAGTTTCTGGTAGAACGCCGCACTGTAGATCTGCACTGTGTTCATAGCCTTGTGCTTATAGCACTGTGCTTTACCTGTCTACAACCTTTGTCGGTGAAGGTAGACTGCTCTGGTTTTCTGTCCGTTTTCCATCCCAGGGAAGCGATTGGATTCTACCTTCACATCTCTCCTGATTCCACACATCCCTTGGAGTCATTGTCCCAAGTTGCACCAGAATGACCCTTTGACCAAGGCAGGGGAAGGGGGAAGTTGTCAAAAGGTAAGTGGGTCAATAGTGCAGCCCGGGCGAGGACTCCGAGGAGTCCTGGGTGCTGCAGCAGCAGCAGCGACCGCAAGCCTGTGGAGCAACGCCCGCCGCCTCCTGCAGACCTTGCGAGTCCACGGCCCCTCGTTTCCGCAGACAACGGCCCGGGCAAGCCTGGTAGTGTTAGCACGCCCTCTCCTCCTGCAGCCGCCTCGGGCTCAGCGGTCGCTGGAACTTGGCCGCAGGAAAAGCTGACGATGGGCAAGATCGGGGATGCGGCAGTTCAGGCTGTTTAATCCGCTGGTTAGGGAAGCTGGCTTTGGACTCCAATACAAGTTCCACCTCTCGCCACGTAGGTGACCTTGAGCAAGTTCCTTAGCTTCAGTGAGCCAGTTTTTTCATCCATAAAATGGGGTAACTGAAGTGATAGCTACAACCAAGGATTGATGTTAGAATCAATATAGTACTAGTGCTAGTTAGAAGCCAAGCAATGGGCTCCAGAATGTAGGTTTGAGCTTTGGTTTTCCCAGATACTCACCAGAGCCGAGGGGGGGAGCACCTGCCCTAAGTCCTATATCCACGAGATGAACCCGGGAGCACCTGGACCCCTGTCGGACTTCTTGAGACGGCCCAGGTGCCCCCAATCTTTTGGCACCTCCTGGCGCCCGCGGCACGTCCTTTCCCTTCCAGCGGAGGAAAGATTTGTGTGGTGTGTGAACTGAGTATCTCCCTCGTCTTCCCTCTCAAGCTCGCGGCCTCGTCCGGGTCTCCGCGACCGCGGCAAGTCCGGCCAAGGCTCTGGCGAGAGGGAAGAGGCAGCCTCGTGGTGCGCGAGTCCCGCAGAGCCCCAAGAAAGGGAGCGAGTGGACGAGGTGGCGCGCAGCAGCGGCAGAACGCGGTACCCCGGGCTGTCTTGGGGCCCCTTCTTCATTTTGCCCACCTTCTAGGGACCGCACCGGCTTTTTGCATCCGAAGTCGCAGCCCTTGAAAGGCCAGGTGTCCCTTCTCTCCTAGCCCTCCATTGACGGGCTGAGGGGCCGGGGGCTCCCGCTCGCCGCTCCGGCGGGAGTGGGCGGCTAGCGCGGGCCCGCGAGGTAAGGAGGGGCCGGGCGGGCGCGCGGGTGGGGACAGTGACTGCACGTGTGTGCGCGCGCGCGGGTGCTCGAGCGACTGAGGGTGTGTGTGGCGGGGGGTCGGCAGGGCCGGTTCCCGCCGGCCACCTGCCCTTCCCGCAACTTGTCACCGCCCACACCCTCTCTCCCTGGGTACCCGTGCTGAGGCGCTTGTCACTCACTCGCATGCCTCACGCCCTCGTCTCTTCCCCCACTCAGCCAAACCCCATCCTCCCCACTAATAATTTCCCGATACAGATTCAGACAGAAACCTGAAGAGAGAGCGTTGCCTTTCTGCTCCTCTCCCCCCCTCACCCCCCGCCCTTCCTGCTATAAATAACCCGGACTAGCGGGTCAGGCACGTCGCACGGCAAGACACCGGGACCCCGAGGTTTTCTTCTCTGGGAATAGGGTGCAAAGGGTGAGGAGGAGGAGAAAGAGACCGCTCGTGAGTAGTAAAGAAAACCTTACTCCTTGGCTTCTGGAAAAGACCAGGCATCCTTTCATTCTCCCTCACCGCCCCAGCATTTCTTTCTTATTCTCCGCTCCTCCCCTCCCCCCCTCCGGCCCCCGCCCCGGCCCAAAAAACGTCAGGTTCCTCAACACACCTCCCATTGGTTTCTGTCCTCCCTCTCACTCTGACTCCTGCTCCCCTGCCCCACCCCCCGCAACCCTCCCTCTTCCCGGGTCCCCCGTCTTGCCCAAGGCAGGGTATGCTTTTCGCCGAGGAAATAAAGTTCGAACTCCTCTCCCCAGTCAGTCTGCTGAGACCAGAATTGATTGGACTCCCAGGCACCGGTGTTCCACTCGCACCCCACTCCTGCTCTCTCCCCTAAATTCTTAATCTGGTTTAACATATTTAAGAGCACACGCACACACATACACACACACACACACACACGCACACTACAAACCCACAACCCGAGAGGTGCAAAACTGCTTGCAACTACTGAAACTTACCAGACGCTGTAGTTGTTTTACGAAAGGACAACAAAGATTTTACTCCGGGTGTTTCTGTGGGGTGATTTTTCTAAATTATTCAAATATGTATATACTATACATAGATATGCTTTTTCTTTTTCCCCTTTAATTTCATTTTTTTTTTTCCCAAGGAAATCTGCTCGGTCCCCAGCAGCCGCCGCTGCCCCTTTGATGTTTTGGTACGCCGTGCGCATGCGCCTCACATTAGCATTACTGCACTGGGCAGACTAAGTTGGATCTCCTCTCCTCAGTGAAACCCTCAATCCCACCAAAAACTAAAGGGATGTGGAGAGTCCGGAAAAAGGGTTACTTTGGGATTTGGTCCTTCCCGTTAATAATCGCTGCTGTGTGTGCTCAGAGGTAAGTGTGCCTGGCGTTTCTCGTTTTCCTTTCTCACTTTGAAGGGTTCTGTCTGCTTACCTCTGTGAGCAGAAATCTGTAGTGAGAATCAGATGCTGAAGACGCTGTGCTAGCTGCCTTATTGATGCTTGTTTATTGTCGTTTCTTTCTTTAGTGTCAATGACCCTAGTAATATGTCGCTGGTAAAAGAGACGGTGGATAGACTCCTGAAAGGCTATGACATTCGTCTGAGGCCAGATTTTGGAGGTAATCGGGTTGACTTGCAAATAAGAAATAGTCCAGCTGTAGTGAAGCTTCTTTTGAGCTTTGTTCGCGCTGCCTCTTCCCTCTCCCTCATTGTGGGTGCATGTGGTGCACTGAATGTGTCTCTGTGTTGTCATATTGAGAAACTGATCCAAACTTAAGGCGGTTTGTTGCTGTCCAGCACTTGGGTGATCTTTCAGTGAGACCCTGTTAGCATGTACTTAAACGTGACGGCTGTCTTTCGCCTTCTCTGTTATAAAACCTTTGCTTCCTTGAGATACAAACCTCTTAAGTTTAGTTCATGGTGTGCCCAGAGAACCTGCCTTACTGAAAGCCATCGTGAACATTTTTGAGGACAAGGTGTGCAGGCAATTGGCTGAGAGGTAGCATTAACCCCACTGTGCCCGCCTACTTTGGAAGAGTTCTTCTGGACATGGTTTAAAGTGACTTGTATATGGATTTTATCCGGTCCTCCTGGAAACCTCACAACACCCTAGAGGGCTGAGGGAAAGGGGAAAAAAGGGGGCCAGAGACCTACCTCTCTGTAGTCCTAGTTATGCCAGTATACCAACTCAATTTTGCTTCAGAGTCTTACAAAGCTTAAAGAGTTAAAACGTGCGCAGAGAATGCGGGGCGGGGTGGGAAAATGAGGAGGGGGAGTGTCAGCGCAATATGTATGTATAATTCCTTGGGCTAGGGCGATTCCCGTACTCAGGGAGTTGTGTGAATTCGCATATTGAGACATCTACTTGTGTAGACAGAGCTGATCTCCCTGGTCCATCGGGACACGTGTGTGCATGTTCAATAGAGCATTTCCTAGAGCAGCACCTGCCACTCTTTTTGCAAAGAAGCCTGAAGTGAAGGAAGGGTTTGGGGGTGGGCGGGAGTGGGCAGTGCGGAGGGATTTTAAGCAGAGTGTCTCTTGCGGACCCGGGGACAACTCTTGCTAAGAATGAATGAAGTTCTGAGAAATCACCTGGCTGGCCATCTTGGTTTGCAGGTCCACCCGTGGCAGTGGGAATGAACATTGACATTGCCAGCATCGATATGGTTTCCGAAGTCAATATGGTGAGTACTGAGGCTTGTGTGTCTGCCGACTTTCCTTTGGGAACGGGGAGGAGGAGAAAGCCAGCCGGCGGGTGTGGGTGTGCATAAGTATGTGTATGGGCTGGGGGCTAGGGTAGGGAGGGTTCGCCTTGAAAATCACGGTGTTCGAGGTTCGGGTAGGGTCTTTCTCATCGCTAACAATTGTTCCAACATGGTTCGGCTTCTTGGGACTTGGTGTAGAGCGAGTAAAACACATCACACATTCACCTGCAAAACGCAGCCACACACAGGAAACTCCCTGCAGAAGCCACATTTCCTAAGGCTCAGTTGGAAACTCGGTTTATTAGTGATTTTCTGGATTTGGAATGTGAAGGAGGGAATGTTTTGAGTAGGCATTTAATGGAGAGTATAACCTATAAACCAAACCATAAGAAAGAGGCTGAATAGATGCCCCAGGGATACTGATGTCACTTGTTGCTTTTGGAGGTCACCTCTTTACAGCAATTGGCAAACCTTCCCACCCTCTACCCCCACTGCCTTCCACTTCCTTCAATCTCTCCACGAAAATAAAATAAAAATTGACCACCCTGTTTTCAAAAGGTAGGCTTAGACCCGTTTGTCATCTCTGGCCACTTTTGCAAGGTTATTCACCGAGTATCCTAAGCGAATCCTGTTTATATACAGCGGCACTCATTAGTGGCTACCTCCTTGACTCAGGGCAAGTGCTGAGAGAAAAACCCTCGGTGTTCCCGACCAGGAAACACTTGCGGGGGTGTTCGCTTCATGCAGGAGCTCCCCCTGCTGCCCATGTTGGAGCACTGCAGATATGTACGACAAAGAGCACGTGGCCCAGATACTCCCACTTTACTTGGGACATTTCTCCAGTGACCTTTCTTCTCTGTGTTTTTTGAAGTTCCTTCTTTTAGAAAAGATCTTCTAGAAAGGCCACATTTGAATATAAGACGCCAGTGTCACTTTCATTCCTGAGAGCACATTTCAAAGTATTGTGTTATGACATGGTTCTGCCTCAAACTGGAGTGGACTATTTAACAAGTGTTGTGGATGAGCTTTTGTGCCCAACATTTTTATATCATCCACCGAGATTGGAAAAGTAGAACAATTATTAAATTAATTCAAGAGAGACAAAAGTACATCTAGATATTGGACATGCTGTCAACATTCCACAAATTTCCATATTCCCAGAATATGAACAAAGAGGAAGCTCAAATAAGCAGAATTGTCCATATACACTGTCCAAACATAAGTGATAACCCTGAGGTACCACAAGATTCTGAAACATCTTCTGATTACTGGAGGGAATATGTAATTATTTCAGTAACATTTTAATGATATGTATCTACTTATATTCTAATTATTGGGAAATTTGCTATCATATAGGGTATAAACACAGACTAAAGACAATGTTGGATGGTTCAGAACCAAAGATTTCACTCACATTATGAAAATTCTCTTGGCAGAGTGTGTTTCTTTTTTGGGAAACTAATATATACAGATATTCAAAAATTCACCTGTGAAGTAGGACTTTAGAGGTCTTTCATCTGTTTATATTTTGAGTTTTATCATAAAAATAAAAATTGTCCTAATGTGAGTGCCTCCTAAGGCCCAGGTACTTGAAGATAAACTGTGTTGCTAAAAAGAAACAAACTTAGAAATCAGATGTGTCCTACATGTGATTGAATCAGAATTCTCACTTTTGTATTTTAGTTTATTCTAGCTCTTTCACCCTCCCAAGTTTTCTTTTTCTACCTCCCTCTTTAGTTCATCACAAAAATAAGATTTTGTGGAATAATTAAGAAAAAAAATTAGAATCCGAACAGACACTGATGAGATGATTAGAGGCTGCTGCCATAGATTAGTTAAGAAAGTACCTGTATTATCTCCTAAAATTATTTAGAGTAGTAGAGTTTTTGTTTCTTCTTAAGTTTTTTCAGTTTTTACCTGTATACAGCATTTTGGAAGATATCTGAGATGGGCATAATGCCAAGGCCTGCAAGTCAAAATATAGATCCAGCTAAGGTGAAATGTCATGTTTTAAAGATATTTACTATTGCCGAAAAATCATGGGATGTTAAAAGTGCAAAAATGAATGTCAGGCTGTAAATGGAACAGTATTGCAGAATTAATGATTAGAACAAAGTGTTAAAAGCCCCATGCCAGATTCCTTTCTTATCCTAATGCTATCACCTGTGGACTTGCCCTGACACATTTTGACTTGTTGAAAAACATTTTTTTCAGGTAGCAATCTTAATAATTAACACTTCAAAGAAAGTGTTTGTTATGTATGTTGTTCTGTTTTTGTTTTTATTTTTTTGAAATGAGATGGTTATTCGATTTGAAGCCACCGTAGGAAATTTCATCACTGGTGTCTAAATAAAATAAGAAGATGATTGTGCCATGTTCCCCCTTGTATGTGGGACTAACAGGACTAGGATATTTTGATTAGATTCAGTTATGAAAGAATGGTTGATTTACTATTTAAGTGAAACCTTAAAACTGATTAACACACAAGCGTCTGCCTCATTACCCTTTGTGGACAGCAACCTCTGTCCTCTTATTATAACAAATCTTCCTTTGAGGAATAGTAGGCATCAGACTGTTTGAGCTGACATTGACACATTTGAACTGAAAGGATAAAAGCCCAAATCAGTGTGGTGCTCCTGGGAAATTGTAATGATGAAGAGGCCTTGAACTGAGTCAGAAATCCATGCTAGTTCTGCTTCTGCTGCTTATTCATCCTGAGGGATTCACAGCCAAACTGGGCCCAATTTTCTCATCTGTTAAAGAGAAGTTGTTGTTGTTAGCTGCCCCTGAGTCAGCCCCTGACTCATGGTGACCCCATGCAAGATGGAACAAAACGCTACTCATTCCTATGCCATCCCCATGATCAGTTGTGGATGAACCATTGTGATCCATAGGATTTCTTTGGCTGGTCTTCAGAAGTAGATTGCCAGGCCTTTCTTCCTAGTTCATCTTAGTTTGGAAGCTCTGCTGAAATCTATTCAGCATCATAATAGCACGCAAGCCTCCACTGATGGGAGGGTGGTGGCTGTGTAGTTGTCCCATTCTATCTATCTCAGGTGACTACCAGAATCCGTAAGATATATGTAAAAATATTACTGTTCTATTAACATAACTCAGTGTAGAAGGCTGAACACCAGACTAGTACTCAATAGACCCACTGTCCACTCCAGCTGGTTCCCTAAGTGTGCTTGATTTACCTTACAGGTCTCAGTTTCCTCATGTTTGAATGAGAGGGGACATGTTAAGGTGACTTCCAACTTAGAGTTACATGTGTCCCTAGTTTTGCTTGTTATAGTAGCTCTGCTGGATATAAAGAAGTTACAGGGACACATGAAAATGGTTCATAAACATGAAGAAAATGCAGAACTTTAAAATGGAGTGCAGTTGTGGGCTTTTACTCAGAAAGGTGGTGACAGTACCCGGGACCGTGTGACTCAGGTGACTGTCAGCCCAATAAAAGATCATTTGGAAGAGCATGATCTTAACAAGAATACTCCTGAGTGGAAAGCTTGGTTTTGGGATGAAATATTTTTAGATGTCTTGGTTAAATTGGCAAGAATCTTTTTGTTAAGATTCTTTGATGAAAAGTACATTTTAAGATCTAAATTTGGCTCTGAGGATTATGGACTGAAATAGCTTGCTCTTCATTTAAAGCAGATTCTTCTCCATCTTGAAACAACACATTTGCCAACCAAAAAGTGAAGCAATATTTCACTTTTGAGGAAAGAATTCTAGTAAACACATAGACAAATTACCTTTTTCTGGAATCGCAAAGGGAGAAAAGTGCTGCTTTTTTTCCCTTTTTTTAACAGATGTTTTCTTGCATCACCAGCTGCATAGTTTAAAATTCAACTCAACAAATACTTACCCACTGCTACAATTCAGTCATTTGTTGTTAGGCATTAGGGACACAGTGATGAACAAGAAAGACCTGTCCTCTGGCCTCATGAAACTTAATATCTAGGTGTTCACGATTCTCAAATTCTACCTGGCTTCTACTATACTTATTCTTAGCTTAAATTTGATCTTTTCCCTAAAACCTTTTCTGAGCAACCAAGTGAGTGCCTAGTGGCCTCTGTCTCGATGGATTCCTTTGCCACTTGCTGATTTCACTTGATTGATTTTTTTTAGCTTAATACCTCTGTGTTCTCTGTGACATAGGAAATACTTTAACTGAACTTGTTGTTGGCTGCCTTTAAGTCAGGTCCCTGAGTCATTGCAGCTCCATCCACAACAGGATTGAAATGTGATGATATGTAGGGTTTTCATTGACTGATTTGTGGTAGTAGATTGCCAGGCCTTTCTTCTTTATTTGGTATTTGGTATTGATTTCAAGTTGCTCTATATGTTACAAATACACACACACACACGTAATTTCTCTATCATGTTTATAAATTACATATAGTCGAGTATCTCCCCCCATGTGATTTCTATATTCTGTAGGTGGTTGGATGTTCGATTCATGGTGAATGCCACAAAAATTGAGTGAAGAATACATTTTCATAGCAGTCATTTATTATTATTTACTATACACTCTACTATGTATGTGGAGAAACAGGACATAGAATTAGAGTCCTCAACTTCAAGGCATTCACTGTTTAAGTCAACAAATGTAAAAAGAGTCACAATATAGGGCCATTAGTGCTTTGAAAGAGGAAATGCACAGGGCATAGTGGGAATATAGAATACTTATGTATTACATCAAAATTAGCCACTGGAAGAAGGGGGATAGAGGTCTGGGGATAGATATTCCAAGCAGGAAGAATGGCATATAGGAGGATAAGACACAGGAGAAAAAAATATGTTAGGGATTTACAAGTAGCTTAAAATAGCTGAAGTTGGGAATAGGAAGTGAGGAAGTGATAAGAGTTGATATTAAAATCACAGGCAGTGACCAGATTATGAAGATGGTTTTGTGTCATGCTGAAGAGATTTAATTTTGTTCTAAAGGCTGTAGGGACCCATGGAAGTATGTCAGT